ATTGTTATTTATAAGTTTTCTTTATTACCTCGCCAGAAAATACGTAAAACAATTTTATTTTTCTACAAAACTAATAGAAAATTAAATTTCAAATAACTTTTACATGAAAATTTTTTTTATAACTTGAACGGTTCATCGTATATACTTAAATTGCCGAAATATATGAATTTTACTGGTAAACATAATATTTATGGAACTTTTGACTTTTAGGAGGTAAATATTTGACTTATGGGTTTTTTGCTAATAATCTTTTTTGTGTAAAATAATTATATGTATAATTTCTTTCTTATAAACTTTTACATAAAAATCATATATTTTGAGATAAAGCACAATAACTGAAAAACTTCCCTTTTGATCGAATTTTCAACCCTCTTGCGGCACGTGTTAACGTCAACCTATCGGGGCCAAATTTTACACAGTTTATTTTTACATTTATTAGAACAATTTTTTGGTGCGCGTAAATCGAATTTTGAAAATTTGTATTTTAAGGACCACCCTAGTGGACACCCTACGCTACAAGAAGACGAGCGTGGATACTCTTAGGAAAGTTCAAAGGAGAGTGCTGTTGGCCAAAGTAAGTGCGTACCGTACAGTTAGTGCCACTGCCACTAACATTCTAGCTGCAGTTCCACCCATTAATCTGTTGGCCGAGGAGAGAAGGGAATTGCATCAATGAAGAACTTCTTCCACAGATATGGAAACGAACTACAGGAGGGTGCTAAGACAACGCACGTTGGTCAAGTGGAAAAACCAACTGAGAGAATCCACTAAAGGGTAGTGGACCAAAAGGCTGATCAACAATCTTGATGAGTGGGTTGAAAGGAGGCATGGTGAGCTGGACTTCCACTTGACGCAGCTGCTTTCCAACCATGGGTGCTTTGCCAGCTATTTAAGGAAAATTAGAAGATTGGACGACAGTACATGTTGGAGCCGCAAACATCCTGCTGACGACGCATGGCACACCTTGTTGATGTATGTACACCTGGGACACATCAACAAGATGTCAATGAGACATGACATGATGTGCCTGTTCGGAACATGTAAAGAAGACACAATAGTCTCCAGAATGCTGGAAAACAAAGAAAAATGGTTGGCGGTGCAAAACTATGCAAATAAAGTAATGGGTGCTAAGGTGGACACATACAGCGACTGGGGCGACGGGATCTGTGATCCGGTCCAACACAGCAGTAAAGGAAACCGGAAGGATTCAATGCTAGACAGATTGTGAGCCAACGAATTTGTATATAAGAAAATTAGTGGTTAGTTGAATATATATGTCTAAGAATCAATGTTAATGTAGTACCTAAATGTGAAATGTGTTATGATCCAAAAATGTAGAATTATTGATGTAAATAGATAATTAATTAAAAATTAAGAACATTACTTGTAAATAGTTAAGAAGCAAAATGTAAAAAAAGTTGTTCTTTTGATAAATAAACGGTAACGGCCAAACCGGGAGATGTAATGCTTAACGGCTGGTTCCCCCCGGTCTGGTTATGGTTGCACATGAACTGGAAAAAAAAAAAAAAGGGTTGATACCTTAGATGTTAGAAATATGCTTACCTAAGCGTTTGGTAGTCGATGATAAATTTCTTGGGTTTCATCCTCCCCTTCCCCCCGCATTAGGTTAGTTTACATAAGGTTTCGTCCTCCCATTGCATTATGTTAGTTTACGTTGGATTTAATCCCCCCCGTACACTTCCTCCACCGCCACCATAGGTGGGTGAGTGGGTGAGGCGCGAGGAGGGGGTATTCCAGCTCTCTCTATATTACCCTACTATTCATTTTATTAAATTTTAACAAATATATGGTTGATTGTGTAAATAACTCTTTTCATAATCATATAACAAATTAAAAATAATCCCTTTATTCTAATAGTATTTTAATATAATACAGAATGATCGATTAAATAAGACACTATTTTCTTAGAAACTATTGAAAATTAAAAATATTATTTGACATGAAAATTACACATATATGTTCTCATAATTTTAACATTTTAATTAACACTTAATCTTTTTTTTAGTTAATATTTTTAATATATTATTAATTTTAAATATGAATATAATAATTTATTATGTCAAAATAAAACTAATTTTGAAATTATTTTTATATTTTTTTTCCTCTTAAAATTATTTACTCCATAATAATAATAATGAAACATTTGGATTTAAAACAGATATCTTTCATTAATTTGGTTTTTATTAATCGACAATAATAATCTGTTTCAATAGGCCATATATTATTATCAGTATTTATTTTTCTTATTGTAAGTGACAGTTATGTCAACACGAATTATCAATAAAAGCTTAATTATAACATGACAACTACTGTATGCTAATTATTAAAAGAAAATTGTTCAACTTTAATAGGCAATAACATATAATAAAAAGGTAAAAATATATGTGGCAAATATAGTTATATTTAAATTAATCAGGGTAGTAAAAATTTCTTTTACACATATTCTCCCACGCCTCATAATAGTAAGACAACTATTTAAAAGCATTGATAATATCCCCGCCCCATAAATAATATTTTTATGTAAAATTATATATAATTTTCAAAACTTTAGAGGCGCAAATTTTATTTTTGGAAAATCATAGTTCTGAAAAAATCATATACAAACTCAAAATATTTATCAAGGTTCCCAGTTTAATAATAATATTTATTTTCACTTATGAATACTATCTTTATGAATATTGCCACCAAAGTTATACACAATAACAATGAAAAAATGTTTGTTGAAATTTCGACTTCAATGAACATTTTATCAAAAAAAAAACCCAGTACAGGGGGATCGCAGCACAGTGGTGACGTGGCATAGTTGGATGAAGTATAATAATATCTGACAGTGATTAAAATCACTATAAAAAAAACGCTTCAATACAAATCTTTAGATAGTGTTTAATTTTAAAAAATTGGTGTATTATTCTAAAAGCTACATGATTTGCTAGTTCTTTATTAATATCCTAATTAAGATAAAGTATGTCGAATGAAAAAGGGATTATTAAAAAATATTATTTCTCATAAAAAATTGTGATGATCCATATACTTTTCAATAAGTTACAGCATTATAAAGTTAAAAAATTTAAAAATAAAATCGAGAATTTTCATACAAAAATAGCATTCGATAGCCATTTTCACCGTGAAGACAAAATAAAGTCCAAAATTTTTTTTTTTATATTTAAGTATATGTTACATAAGCTTTAAATTAAGTTATATATAAAAGTATCATTATTTCCGGAACACTTTCAAAAATTAAGTTAAAAAAGTTCTACTTTCTATATGCATTTTTATGTTTTGAACCTCCACTATATTAAGGGAAATGGTCTGATTTAAAAAACAAGTATATCGGATTAAAGAGGGTTGGTAAAGGGTTAAATTTATAAAAAAAATATACCAAATGATAGGTAAAAACATCAAGCATCTATAAAGAAAAAAATTATATTGATATGTTCATTTTTGAAAAAGTTGTGGCAGTTTTAAATAAAAAAATTGAAAAAATTTCGAAAATTAGCGATTTTTAAATTTGTAATTTTTTTGGAGGTTTCCCCCATTTACGGAGAACGAAGGAAATTTTTTCAATTTTTGAGGGTAATGTCTTCGACTAGATACGATTTGTGATCTTTTGACGTATCATTGAAAGAAATCGGTTCGGTGAGAGCTGAGAAAAAGTGTTAACAGAAACAAAAAAAAAAAAAAAAAACACATCATAGTAAAATTAAAACCTTCACAGCTTCGCATCGAAGCTAGAAATTATTAGAATTTTAATCATTTTTAATTTTTAAAATACGGCGACCAATTTTTAGAAAAATATTACCTAAATGTGTTCAATTCCACCTGATGACAATCATGTATTGAACTACTGAAAAATTTTACTGGAAAGGAAAAATAGGCTATTAAATTAAACACATAAACATAACTCGTACAAACTGTTTAATGTTCGATGACTAAAATTAGAACATATATTTTTTTTTTTTACCAAGTCTAATTCTGTGAACAATGACAATTCAACACGTATTAAACATGCAACCATTATATTAACATATTTGGTTATAACTTGGTTACTTAAATAACATTTGTCACCACAAGATTTGTTTTAAATAACTTGAGAAATCACACATTAAATCACAATTTATAATTTTGTAATACATTACAACTAAAATTTTTGAAACCGAAACCTTTATTTTTATTAGATTTCGGTTTTTAAGGTTTTCGTCAATGTTGTGTTCCGTTAGCGGTTTTGGTTTTTTCGTTTATGAAGAGTTCCTGTTTTAGAACTGGTTTTTTCAGTTCGGTTCTGGTCCATAATTTTACTCAGTAATATTGAGAATAATGGATAATGCATTATATATTTATTCCAAAATAGCGTACATTAAAGACAAAAAATGAATTTTGTATAAATACACTAATATTTGAAGTAAATTTCTAGAATATATTAAATTACATATAATAAGCATACTATAATCGTTAACTTTCAATAACTACAGTTTTACAGTTTTATTTAATAACTTAATCAAATTAAAAATTTTTAGTTGGGTAAAACCATCAACTGTTAATGAACTGAAGTTTGTTTCTAAATACGTAATTATGTTTGTTATTGGTAAAACACTAGTATTTTTTGATTTGGAAACGCTAAAAGAAGAATTAGTAATGGTAGATGATAAAAACAATTTACCACTGAATAGTATTGGATGTGTGGATTGCTGTAATGGAGACATGGACATTATAGCAGTGGCTGAGAGAGAACCCATGCATAATGTAGTAATATTTAGATACCCGGATTTTAAAGTTTTGTCTATTTTAAAAGGTAATATAATTTGAGTTTATTTATTAATCGATAATAACTTTTAATAATACTTGTATATTTCTAAACTAATTATTTTATGTTTGTATACAGATGATGACGATCCAATATCTTATAAAAGTGTTTCATTTATTAAAACAACATATATAATTGGATTGCGCGATTACCCCTCGTTTGATTTTATTATTTGGGCTTGGGGATCTCAAGAAAAACTATTAAGCATCAATACAGGGCTTATTCAATCGAACCAAATAATAGGGTAATTTAATTTTTTTTAAATTATAGCTATCTAATAATTTGTAAGATAATTGAATCGGGTTTTTCGAGAAGGTCATATCTCCATAAAATTTTATTTTTCAGAAAACATAAAAAACTGTTTTTTAAAGATCAAAATAAATTTAGATGAAAATTGAATAAGGGTTGAATTATTGAAATCCCTTATAAAAAAACCAACTATGTTGTAATATTGACTATTATTACGAGGTATGTCAAAAAAGTTCCCGGACACTGGACAAAAACGTGCTTTATTATAAAAATTAAGTTACAATAAATTTATCCCCTTCAAAGTATTCCCCCCTGGCACTAATGCACTGGTGCATTCTTTTTTTCCAGTTATCGAAACATTTTTGCCAGTCATTTTGTGGCATGCTGTACAGTAGCCGTGCCGATTCTTGTTTGATCTCTTCCAAACCCCCCCAAATGTGTTCCCCTCATCAAATCTTTCAGTTTATCAAACAAAAAAAAGTCACAGGGTGCAAGGTCCGGTGAATAGGGCGGATGTGGTAGCACTGTCGTTTGGTTTTTGGGCAAAAAATCTTGCACAATGAAGGACCGGTGTGCTGGCGCATTGTCTTGATTAAACGTTGCATAGTCTCAAGGTAGGCTTGTCCAGTGATTGTGTGACCCTTTGGAGTCCATTCCAGGAGTACCACGCCGCGGCAGTCGAAAAAAACAGTGGCCATTACCTTCACTTCTGATTTGCTTTTGCGCGCTTTTTTCACTCTTGGTTCATCAGGTGTTAGCCACACCATGTCAGCCCGTTTTTTGACGAGATCATACTCAAAAATCCAACTCTCGTCACCTGTGATTACTCGAGACAAAATGTTGTCGCTCTCCTCAGCTTCCAGCCAGTCCCTGCAGATTTCAACGCGGTTTCGTTTTTGATCGTCCGTCAACACTCGCGGAACCATGTGTGGAGACACCTTTCGCAAATTCAAATCCTCCCATAAAATTGAACGCACACTCTCGTGCGATGTTCCAACACTGCTAGCGATTTCTCTCAGCGTTTTTCGGCGGTCTTCATCGATTTTAGTCTTCACTTTTGCAACCATTTCGGTCGAGCGCGCTGTTTGTGGTCTGCCTTCGCGAGCGTTGTCAGTCACTGCCTCTCGCCCCTCTCTGAACCGACTAATCCACTCGTACAGCGTTGTGCGGCTTATCGTATCTTTACCATATACAGCTGACAACATATTTTTAATTTCGGCGTTTGTTTTGCCCAATTTCACGAGAAATTTGATCACGATTCTTTGCTCTAATTTTTTATCGATTTCCATTTTTCAAAAAATCGGCACAAGGCACAAACAACTTATTATAATTATTTTTTTAAATACAGTTAAACGCGACCGATCGACTTGAAATTTTGTATACTGATACAAGATAGCTGTAGGAACGAGACTGCATAGTTGTTTCCGACGCAGTGCTACTACACAGCGCACACGAAACGTCGTCCGGGAACTTTTTTGACATACCTCGTATCTATTGGATTATTTTATGAGGGAATGAACATGTTTGAGATATGGCCTTTTCCAATTGATTGTAAATTTTCATTGATTATGATCTCACGACTCTGATCAATTGTTTATTGTATATCATAAATTTTTAAATAATTAGTCTTACAAAATATACTGTGTATTATTTGTAATAATTTTATCTATGAACTTCAACATCACTTCTTTTTAGTTAATTTTTTCTTTTAATATCAATCGTAGACTCAGTTTCGTCTTCGAATTCACTCATATTAACTTATTATTAATAATATTATTCTCACTTATTCTTGATAATAACAATAATTATTATTGTTATTATCAACTATTATCGACCACAGATAGTCAATAAACCAGACGAAAATAGAATCTTAACAAATAAAATTGCTGATCAAGTCATTTTTGGAGAAATAGCCTTTTCAAACGCACTCGTTATTTTTAGACTATAACGAGTTGTTGGAGATATGACGGTCTCTCAGGAAATATGCAATATTATTATATAAACACATCTATCACACAAAAGTAGTTTTGAAAAAATTTGGAGAAATGGCCATTTTGAAATGACCGATTCAATTAGACTAAACTATATTATTTACTTTTTATAGTATTTTAAATTTTTTATGCAAATGAAAAAAATTGTGTCAGTTCCATATTTTTTATAATTAAGTTAACCGAAGTTTTGTGTAATTTTGGTAGAAGTAATTTTTTTTTGGTATAGCTTGTTTTCAGGGTCAGGACATAATGTTTACCTTAACCAAATTGAAAAAGGAGAAGTTTGCAGTAAACTTCAAATATGGACATTTATGATTAGTTCAAAAATAGTATATGCAGACAAATTTTCAGTTAAATTACCTTCTGCTAAAACAGATATTTGTTCGAGTTGCTGGTTGGCTGGAGGATGGTTTTTGTTTTGCGACAGTTTTATGGATGTTTACCGCGTTCAAGTAGATGGCAGTAGAGCATCAGATCCAGAGATATATATACATTACGATAAAAAGTTCAACGAAATGAAATATTTTCAACCTTTATTGAGCTCATTCTTAAAAGAGTTTGTATTATATACCCCTGAAAGCATAACTGTAAGTTAAAATACATAATTTTATAATATTGTATTAAGAATACTAATAATGAATTCGTAAAAATCTCTATTTATTTTTATTAGAGATATAAAGAAGTTAAAAGTGGGATACTTATTAAAGTATGGACGATTCAAACTGAACACATATTAGAGAGTATTGTAATTAGAGATAATAAAGTATACGGTTGGACTACTAAGGTTTTTATTAAATTTTAAATAAAATTATAACTCATGTACTAAATTATCACGTAGATGAAAAAACAAAAGTATATTAATAATTGTGGACGCTAAATTCCTATTATTCATTAGGGTGCGCTCATGGAGATAACGTATGAAACACAAAAGATATTAAAACTGTATGGATCAAAAATAAAATTTTTCACTTTCATTAAACCCACCGATCAAACAATTATCACAATTAATGAACAAGAAGTTTTGCAACTATGGGATGCCACCACTGGTGTTTTTGTAAGCAAATAATAAATACGGATACTGTTCAAAAGTGGAATCTATTCTAATTATATGTATACCATCATACAGAAAAATGAATTTCAATTAGATAGCGAATCAACAAATTTGGCCATTAATCCACTTTATTATTATGTGGCTGTAACGTTCACGAATGGAAAAATAGAATTAATAGATGTTAATCCATATACCAATAGCTTAAAAAATATAACCAAAATGGTTTTATGTAATCAAGAGTTATCTAGTGTCGTTTTCTTTCCAGATAGCCAAAATTGTATTGCTTCAGTTTACTCTACGGGCTGGTTGTTTAATATTAAAGTAACAATTGATTTGCTCATTAGTTTTATTCTATTAAAATTCAATTTTATGTTTTTTTAGATAAATCTAGGAGAGAAATGTAATATCATTCGGGAATTTCATTTAGAAAAACGAATAATAGACATAAATGTAGTAAATAACCAAGATAAATCTTTTGTAGTCATTTTATATAAAACACACGAATACTCAGAAAATGTCGGTAACAATATAGTTATTTACGATTCAAAATTGAAATTTATTTTGCAAAAAACGAATACTCAAATATTTTACACATCAGTGTCGGCTTGGCCACCTCTTTCATCGAATAATTTATTAAGAATAGCTCTTACTACATATCTATCAAAACATATTGATTTAATAGTAATTGATCTATTCATGGTAAGATTTTATTCTAGTATAATTAATATGCGAGTAAACTCTAAAATAAATATCATCTAAGCTTATTTAAAAATTTCAACTTAAGAATAAAATTCTGATTGAAGAAACTATACCACTGGACCATGATCTAAGAGATGTTAATGTTTCTGTATGGAAAAAACACTGTATCACTTTCAGCTATGATGGCACCTATAACTTGTACGAATTTGATGACGATGGGCAGTGGAAAAAAATTGTGAGAGCGTCATGTAATCACTGGCAGACTGGTGGAATAAAATATGCCGAAGTTAACGTTGAAGCTCAACAAATATTAATAATGTGTCAACAAGGTGACTTCATGTGTATCAGTTTTAAGTAATATATTTTTTTAATAATATATTAGTTTTTAAACTTGTAATAATATAACGACATGAAAAAATTTAATTTATCAATATGATGTATTCTTGAAACAAATAGTACCTCAATTAAAATCGTTTTCATGCGTTGATTAATTGTGAAACAAAGATCTTAATATATTATAATCGCATTCGTAATGAGTATCATTTAAATTGTTTGAATATTTTAGCTTCGATGCGAAGTTGAGAAGGTATTAGTTTTACTATGATGTATTTTTTTTTGTGTCTGTTATCACTTTTTCTCAACTCTCACCGAACCGATTACTTTCAGATCACAAATCGTGTTTAGTCAAAGACATTACATTTTTTAAACTTTTTTTCTTAAACTGCCATAAATTTTTGATAAACATACTATATATTATTTACCGTATGCTATTTTTGTGTTAAAATTTCCGATTTAAAATTTTTAACTTTATATTCCATAAATTTTTTAAAAATGTATGGATTAATACAATTTTTTATTGATAAATACTATCAATATATCTTTCATGCAACATACTTGTTTTTCAATCGGACCATTTTCCTTTATACACGGGAGTTAAAAACTTAAAAATGCATATAGAAAGTAGAATTTTTTCAACTTACTTTCATATTAACTTATTTATATGTAACTCTTGGTGTTTAAATAGATGATACAATTGTAATATTCAGAACTATTTTTCTTGTAGTTATATCCTATAGTATTTAAATAATTAGTAATAATATCAAAAATGATTGATGATAGAAAAAATATAAACTACTGATTTGAAATTACCACGAAAAATTTAATAATAAAAGTATATTTTTGACTCTGATAAACATTTTTTGCAGAATATTTATTCATAATTAACAACAAATTATTCACAAAAGTTTTAAGTCATGCTCTTCTATTTTTAACACGCTTATATTAGTTTCACATGTATGTCGTTTGTTTGTTTGTTGTATGTTGTAAGTTTGTAACTCCACGCGGCACGTGTTATTATGTCGCGTATCCCGTCGTCTATGACCTTGAAACAAGACCGTCGCAACGCATTCAACCCACCCCGCTCACCAGTCGGCGCCAACACTATTTTTCTGTATAATTTTATTTTTGGTTTTCGTACCCGTATACACGTGCGTGTCATCAATTATATATATATATTAGGGTGCCACTTATTCATACATGATGATTTTTTTTTTTTGTAATTCTTCTGAGCGCCGGTCAAAATTTTATTAGAAATACCTTAAATATAAATCATGTAAAGTTTCAGCCCATTTGAACAACTTTAACGATTTGAGCTTAAAGTTTTGTGTAAATTCGTAAAATCCGTTATTTTGACATATAGTCGTTACAATTTTCATTTTACAAAAAATTTTATAGAACAATAAATGTAGTACAAAACACGTTTTAAAAAAATGGTTACTTAATATTTTTTTGTAAAGTGAACTCATTCTCGGAAAAATAACAAAATATGTGCGATTTCGCGTTTTATAGAATAAACACAACTTTAGTGTTGTATAGTTTTTTTTTTTTTTTATAGCCTTTATTAAAATGTGTTGTATAGTTATATTTTTAATACGGTTTCTTATTTATAAACGACAATAAAAATTTGTTATTATTATGAACATCATTTTAAGTTTAAGTTAAAATTTATAAATGTCACTTTTATCACATATACTGACTCATAAAATAGTAATCTCGGGAATCGTTGAATTGTCCAAGTACGATAATAATCATACATGTGCAATATTCGATTCTTTTATTTTACATTTACCGTGTACCTCTAACGTTATCTAAATGGATCTTTTTTGATCCAATAAAGTAATTGTAAATAGAATCATTACCATTTATTGAACATTATTTCTCTTGAAGTCATACTTATTGTTGTCTAGTTAGGTTTAAGAGTTGTTTGTAAATCAGTAAAAGTATTTTTATTTTAAGTTTTTTTTTTGGGGGGTTTTATTATTTAATTAATTAACATGCCACTTCTTGAAAAAATTTTCATAATCGGCCATATGGAACATCAAATCACGGGAAGTAAATTACCATCTAGAGGAGATTGTTTAAAAGTTTTAATGTATAATATGAGATTTACAAAATTAAATTTAAACGAAAGTGCTGCTCTAGTTATAGAAGAATGTTTAGTTTTTTGGAAGAAAGCTCGAATACCGACTCAAGAACCTCATAAATGTAAAGACAAGTTGAAAAAGTTGTATGAGGAATGGAGATCATTAACGAAAAATGCCAAAAAAATTTCTGAAAATTTAAGACAAAAAGAAAATATGTTTTTAGAAAAAATCAATGATTTATTTGATATAGCCCACCAAAACGCACTCGAATTGATTAAAATTGAAGAAGATAGGCTATTTTTAAATATACAAAGAGAAAAAGGACGTCCAGGTTCAATGTTGGGAGTAGATAGAAAACTAAGTGGGATTGAAAAACGAAAATTTACTCGTGAAGAAGAGATTAACACTAGGCGTGAAAAGTATTTAAATACGTCGTCTACGTCAACTGGTAAACTCAATTAAATTAATAAAACATACAATTTTAAATTTTTTAACTTAAGACAGTAAAACTAAAAATCAATACTATATTTCACAGGAATTATACATTATTCAGATTTTGATGAATTCATGTATATGAATATATAATTCTAAATTCTGAAGTTGATATAGTTGTAAAACCTAAACGAGCTCGTAAAGAAATTTTAACACCACGATTAGCTGCAGTACTTGATAAGTGTAAAATAAGTGAGAGAGATATGGTCCATTTACTTACAGCTTTTTTGGATGCAGTTTCATTAGATTCAGCTGATTATATAATTAATCGTACATCTATCCGTAAAGCAAGAGATGATTATCGAAGAACTTACTATGAAAAGGTAAGAAAAAATTATTTAAGTATAGAAAAAGATGTTGTAACAATACATTGGGACACAAAATTATTAAGTAACATTATTGGACAAAAAGTCGATAGATTAGCAGTAATTGCAACGTCCCATGCAGTTGACAAACTTTTAGGATTACCAAAAATACCCGCTGGAACTGGTTTAGAAATATGCTCCGCTATTTATAAAGTTATTGTTAGCTGGGGATTGATAAATAATATCCAAGAGTTTTTTTTGATACAACAGCATCTAATACTGGGAAATTTAATGGTGCTTGTTCCTTATTAGAAAGGAAAATTGAACGAGATATATTATTTTTCGGTTGTCGTCATCATATATACGAAATAATATTATCAACAGTTTTTACGATTTGTAAAGAAAGCGTCATGTCAGGACCTGATATTCCGCTATTTAAAAAATTTAAAAATCAGTAGGATACCATTATAAAAACAGATTTATCTACTGAAATTTCTCATGTTAGAGTTCAACATATTTTAAATAATTATATTGATGAAATTTTAAAGTTTTGTTTTGATAGACTTAATTTATCGTTTACGCGAGATGATTATAAAGAATTTCTTATTTTAATTATTATTTTTTTGGGGGGTGTCCCTCCAGAAGGAATAAAATTTAAAAAACCAGGAGCATACCATTTAGCACGTTGAATGGCTAAAGGTATATACGGCCTAAATATTTTTTTATTTAGAAATCAGTTTAAGTTAACTAAACTTGAGGAAAATTCTCTCGCAGAACTTAATTGATTTATTATAAAATGTTACGCTGTGAACTGGTTTACTGCCTCAAACAGTGAAATGGCTCCTTTAAATGACATCAGATTTTTAAGAAAATTGCATGAATATTCTAAAATGAATAAAGATATTTCTGAAGCTACAATTAGAAAATTTTTAAATCATTTATATTATTTGAATGAAGAATGTTTATCTTTTGCATTATTCGATCAAAGAGTAGACGATGATACAAAACTGAAAATAGCTAAAAAATTATGTGAAGACATCTTCGATGAAGAAGATGAAATAGAAGAAGAAATTGAGACCCCCAAAAAACTAATTTTAAAAAAAGGTGACATTCCATTTCTTTTTAATGATGACGATAAAACTATTTTAGTTAAACTTATTAGTAAAAAATCTCTAATGATGTTTAAAAGATTCAATATAAATAGTGATTTTTTAAAAACTCATCCCAACACGTGGAATAATTCAGCTAATTATAAATATGGCGAGGAAAAAATTAAAAAACTTAAAGTTGTCAACGATGCAGCAGAAAGAGGAATTAAACTTATTGAGGAATTTGATCATAAAATTACAAAAAATGAAGAGCAAAAACAATTTCTTCTGCAGGTAAATAACATTAGTTAATAGTTTTGATAATAAATAATGCTATTTATTTTTAATTTTTAGACTATACAAGATTATCGTGAAAAATATCCGAATCCATCTCTAAATGTTCTTAAAAAAAACCTCTGATTTTTTTTATTTAATATTATTTATTTTTTATTTTTTTAATTTTACATAAGTCCATGTTATTTTACAGACATGAAGTATGTTTTATAATAATGAAATAAGAATCATTTTTTTTTTTAAATATTAATTTTTTTATAAAATTGAAATTAATTTATTATAGTCTATTATAATTTTTGTTACAATAATATGATAAAAGAGTATTCTATAATACGCGAAATCGCACATATTTTGTTATTTTTCCGAGAATGAGTTCACTTTACAAAAAAATATTAAGAAACCATTTTTTTAAAACGTGTTTTGTACTACATTTATTGTTCTATAAAATTTTTTGTAAAATGAAAATTTTAACGACTATATGTCAAAATAACGGATTTTACGAATTTACACAAAACTTTAAGCTCAAATCGTTAAAGTTGTTCAAATGGGCTGAAACTTTACATGATTTATATTTAAGGTATTTCTAATAAAATTTTGACCGACGTTATATATATAACAAATTTTTATTGTGACTGACACAGCCCTGCGTCGCTTCATTATACACGATGCCTCCCAACTCATGCCACCTTTATCAGCCGTCGCCCTATTATGAGTATTTGACTGACCAACATCTCGCGTTATACGCCGCGGTG